CGCTTAACGAGTTTAATCCGTTCCAAAATTTCCGGATTTTGACTCGTATAGTGAAACATATTCAAAATTCCACATAATATGTGTATATAAGTTAATGACGCGCAATCTCTTCTCATCGTCACTCGTTATACGAAACGTCACTCGTTAAGCGAATCATTTTTCTTACAATTAATTTTGCTCTTTAAGCGAAATGCTCGTTATGCGAGGTTCCACTGTATTGAAATTTATTTCAGTTTATTAATTGAGGTATTACAAAAATTCATTCTTAATTTGTATGCAATCCTTTATACTGTATATATATGTAACTTATTTAAGTTAAAAGACAATTAAATTTTATATATATTTTACTATATTTCAAAAAGCTTAATGTATATTTTAATTATTGATTTATTTTATCATATTTCTTGCATAGTTTCAAGTATCTTATCTTATCTAAAAATAATAATCAATTTTAAGTAATTTTGAGAACTACATTTTGTAGTAAAATAATGATGTAAGAAAATGCATCAATTTATTTCAGAGTTTGGTTAAAAATAATTTACCGAAGAAAATAAATAATTGGAAATTTGAAACGTTAAATTGTGATTGTTTCCAATTTAAAACTTCTATAGTCTAATCAATAATATGCAGTGAATAAATACTGATTCTACAAAGCGCTGACCTCTAGTGATTCCTAGACAGCTCTCATATTTGGAAATCAGGAAATACCTTTCTGTTAGGACTGTACCCTTTTCATTTAGATCATAGGTGGCGAATACGCCCTTTAACAACATCAATACTTTAAAGATAATAATTAAAACTTTAAATTATACAATATTAACAGTATTATTTAGTAATTTACTATAATTATGAGCTGTCTTTTAAAAATATATGAATTACTTACACCTTTTACAACTGCTCCATAGGTGGCAGGAAATTGAATACGCCCTTTTGAAAAATCAATAATTTGAACGGGAATCTTAATTCTGGTCTTTTGACGTAATAAAATGTCTTCGACTGAATTTACAAATTAGATAATTTCATTGATTTAAAATCGCCCTTTTCTAGCAATCAATACTTTGCAATTGAATTATGTAATCACAGTGACCTCTAATTAAAAATTCAATAACTTTTAATATGCATTGATTAACATATTGGAAGAATATTGGAAGTAATAGGTTTCAATGTAATTCAAAGTAGGTATAATGAATGTGTAGATATTTCAACACTTTATTCTAACAAACAGTGTTTAACACATAATTAAAAAGCGGACAGTATGACTATAAGCACACCAAGAGTGCATGGATGTTACATCGACAATAAAATGCCCCTCTCCTTCAATAGCTTAATGTTTAGATAACGTTTTTTTGTTTAAATAGTACAGATGACATTAAATTAAATTCATGAATATAGCCGGATCTTATCCCATCCAGCTGACGAAGTATTCTCACAATATAGGAATTATGCTAAGTTAAGACGGCGCATCTCTTTCAGCAACTCGTTGCCCATCTGAGCTGGCGATTTTGTCACTATCGCTCCGGCCTAAAATGAAAGAAATCAATTAGTATATGCACGAACATATGGATGAGAGTTTGTTTTTTTTACCTTTTCTAGAGCGTTGATTTTATCTTGGGCACCTCCCTTGCCTCCGGAAATGATAGCACCAGCGTGTCCCATCCTGCGGCCGGGTGGGGCAGAAAGTCCAGCAATGAAAGATACCACTGGCTTAGCGTTGGGGCCGGTATTGTGGTTCAACAAATATTCGGCGGCCTTCTCTTCGGCATCACCACCGATCTCGCCGATGAGAATAATTCCCTTGGTCTCTGGGTCATTGATGAACACCTCGAGGCAATCAATGAAGTTGGTTCCGTTGAAGGGATCTCCGCCGATACCCACGCAAAGGGTCTGACCAAGTCCAACCTGGGTCGTTTGGTGGACGGCCTCGTAAGTCAAAGTGCCAGAACGGGAGACGACACCGACGATTCCCTTTTGGTGAATATGACCGGGCATGATGCCAATCTTGCATTGCTCGGGGGCGATGATGCCAGGACAGTTCGGTCCCAACAGGCGAGATTTATTTTGCCTCATGAGCTTGTGCTTGACCCTAACCATATCCTGCTGGGGAATTCCCTCAGTGATACACACAATAAGAGGTACTTCAGCGTCGATCGCCTCCATGATGGCCGATGCTGCACCAGGTGGTGGCACGTAAATAACAGTAGCTTCGCAGCCGGTGGCATCGCGTGCCTAAAAGAAAAATGACTTAGTTCAAACGCAAATTTACAATTTAACATATCTTTTTAGTGATTAAAATCCAACAAATTCAAGTTGTAAGGCTATTGCACTACAACTTTCTATTCTAGAATAAGTGTTATAGTAAAGTAGCAAACACATCTTAATGCGCCAAATCTATAGAAGCCCTACGTTGCACTCAAAGCTAGATATATACCTAACGTTTGGCCCCATTAAGTGCTTTTTGCTGTGCTCTTTAAAAGTGAAACAAACCTCCTTAACACTATTGAATACTGGAAGGTCGAGGTGGGTCTTGCCTCCTTTGCCTGGAGAAACACCTCCAACCACATTGGTTCCATACTCAATGGCCTGCTTGCTATGGAAGGTGCCCTGTTTGCCAGTGAAACCTTGGCAAATTACTTTGGTATTAGAGGTGAGCATCAAGTTGGGCCTGGTGGCATTGTAGCTGCTGCTCAGCCTGATGCCCTGTCCCAATGACAAACCTATAAAACGAATACAAGAGAAAAATAATGAGCGACGAACTTTGAACTGGAAAAAATAATGATACTTGCTCAACCACTCTTGATAATTACATAATAAAATTTTGATACGCTATCAATGACAATGTTTTCTTTCGCTCGTTCTAATTAAAGAATGTTTATACTTTCGCCTGGTGATAAGTGAAACATAATTCCAGCGCTGAAGAGACCGATTAAACGGCGCATAAAGTTTTATGATCGTTATGAAATGCGATTGGTATAGTGACTATTGGATAAGGGAATCGGGTTTGCCAAGAAAATAAACCTATTATCCGCATAAGAAATATATTATATAATTTCGCTTTACCTAGTCTGGTCCACACTCTGGTAGTCGCAGCCATTTTCGATGGATATAATTCTGTTCTTTTCGCGTTCTTTCCTGTCTAATTGGACGATTCTCGTGCGCTTTTCCTCTCACTAAGCTAACATCTAATTTAACTGGATTTCACGAACGTTGAAGGCAGACTTGTGGTCGAAGGAGACGGGCGAGGGCAAAGTGCGAGTTGTCAACTTGCCTTCAAAGCGCATGACTCCTACCGTATCCTTCCATACCCTTTAACGATTTGGTTCTGAACTCGGCTGAAAATAAAATTCAAACGTGAAAAAGGAAAAAAAGAAACAAAAGTAACGATTAAATGCGAAGTCTATTATCAGGTCATTTCATAAGGATCTATCGAGCCTATTAATTATTAATAAGATCAATAGGCTGCAGTTTTAATGGTCCTGTTTATAATCGATTAGAGATAACTGAATGCAGTTCAAAGTTAATAAACTTATGTTAATAATTATTATTGATGATTCGCAGATGAATCATCAGGAACAATTTGGAGTACAATTGGTTACATAGATTTTAGTTAATCGCTTGTAAACGTCAGCTTGACAGGTATTTAAAGGGTCTGAGTTAACCATTGTTAACGCCCATTAGGCAGTGTTTGTTTTGCGCATTTGAAGGATATAAACAAGATCTCATCGGAAATCATCAGTTCTCCCCGTATGCAGCTCAGGCGGTATTGTGTATTAACGAAGTTAGCACTGATTAGAACACACAACGGTATTTATCATCATAACCTCTACGGCTTTTGACAACTTGTTATCACTTCCAGCAAGTAGCAAAAGTGTTTGTTCTGCATTTTATTTAAGTGACGTGTACTTGCCAACAACGAAAACGGTAAGGATTAGATCTAGAACGTGAGTTTGCACGCAGTTGTTTACTATGGCAACAATTGATAAGAAAGGGATGAGAGCTCTGATCCTGGTTGGAGGATATGGCACCAGGCTAAGGCCCCTCACCCTGAGCCGACCCAAGCCTCTGGTAGAGTTTGCCAACAAACCCATACTGTTGCATCAGATTGAAGCCTTGGTGGAGGCTGGAGTCACAGAAGTCATCTTGGCAGTATCATATCATGCTGAAGACATGGAGAAAGAGTTGTCCGTAGAAGCAGACAGATTGGGTATTAGCATTGTTTTCTCACATGAAACTGAACCATTAGGTACAGCTGGTCCCATAGCCCTAGCACGAAAAATTCTCAGCAAAAGCACAGAGCCCTTCTTTGTGCTGAACTCAGATATCATCTGTGATTTTCCATTTAAAGAACTGGAACAGTACCACAAGAACCATGGTAAGGAGGGAACCATTGTAGTAACTAAGGTTGAAGAGCCTTCCAAGTATGGTGTGGTTGTGTACAAAGATAATGGCCAAATCGAGAGTTTTGTGGAGAAACCTCAGGAGTTCATTTCAAACAAGATCAATGCAGGCATTTATATACTCAACCCAAGCATGATTGATAGAATTGAACTTAAACCCACCTCCATTGAAAAGGAAATCTTCCCAGGCATGGCACAAAGTGGACAGTTGTTTGCCTTCGAGCTGCAAGGCTTCTGGATGGACATTGGTCAACCCAAAGATTTTCTTACAGGTATGAGAGATCAATTACATCTATATTCTATCAGCAAAAATAATTTTGTTCTTGTACCAATCTTCAAATTTACAATGAACATAATTCCTTTACATAATTAATTATCAATACATAAGTAATTATCAATAAAATGAATGTTTTGGAAAACTACAATAAATACCAAGAATTTACTTAATGTTGATCCATCAATTTTAATTAAAAAAAAAATGGGGTGTTGAATAGTTAAAGAAAATTCATTTTGTATACGAATTAATGGATATTATTTGAAAAAAATGTGTAAATGCAATTATTGATTATCTTTGTTTAAATTTATTAGTTTAAAGTTTTAATTAATTAATTAACACGATCGATGGTGCGAATGTTAATTGCATACCATTCAGCATTGGACTATTAACAAGGGAGAATTTCACAGATATTTAAGATCAATACAATAATTTATTTTTTTTAATTGTAACGGAACGTGGCATTATGCAATGTTAATTATTTGTAAGTAATTAATTTAGTAATAATCATAATTTGTTCGATAGAATATTTGAAAATTAGGGAATTAACAGGGACAAGGGTTTGTTTGTGTATATACAAAATATAAATGATTACAGTTAGTTGTGTTTCCGGAACACGACATCATAATTAGCGCCTTCCTGTGTACTGTGTGTAATCGTCGTGGCCGCTTCCCACAGCAAAGGACCACGGGATCTCCGTATATATTTTAGAAGTAAAGGATATTTGTAATAATAATATTTTGTTGCGAGCAACGATATTTATGGCTTCTGTAACGTTCGTTCACGGGGTGGGCGGTTTCCAATAAAAACCAGCGTTTGCACCACCTAAAATTAAACAGATTAAAAATAATTAATAGGATTTCTTACGAACAAATGACAGCTGTTTCAGAATATCTATATGAAAAGAATAGAAGAAGCTTTTGCGTGCCACAGTTCACGCACTAATCGTTACAGAATATTTGAAGAAAAAAAATAAAGTTCATTCATAGAGAAGAGAGCACATGTTTGTTAAACATCGACCAGCAACTTTCAGTGTTTGTGATATTTATGAAATAGTATTCCGTTCGTATTCAGTACACAGATGGTGACGGTGATTTATTTATTTATATTTTTTTGTATAAAGATACAATATGCTTAAGGTGCTACATTTATACATTAATTACATACTGATTAAATTGCTTTCAAAAGACGGAACTGAAAATTAATTGGTCTGTTTCGATTTCATTAGTTCTTTGTACAGTGTGTGTGCACACATAAAAATAAATTCTAAACGTTTCTAAGACTTGACTGATTACTTTGCCATTGACACATACTATAGAAATTCTAATACCGGATCGTCAGGTGCCTTCTACAATAAGTTCCTTAATTCTAAATACCCTAGTCTAATTGGTTACGATTTGCAAATGAAATCAACGTCACTCAATCACGGACGTGTTGGGTAATAGTGTATTAAGGATTTGGTTTTTGTGGGTTTCAGGGATGTGCATGTATCTAAAGGCTCTGCGTCAACGGGAGCCGGAGAGGCTCTACCAAGGACCCGGAGTACTCGGTAACGTTCTTGTAGATCCAACGGCAAGAATCGGTGCCGACTGTCAGATTGGACCCGATGTGACCATTGGTCCTGGTGCTATTATACAAGACGGTAATAGCCTGATCAAAAAAACAATGTTCACTGAATCTTATTAACTCACGGATTTACTGATTTTCAGGAGTGCGTGTTCAGCGCTGTACGATTCTCAAAGATGCAAAAATACATTCATACACAAGGGTTGAGAATTGCATTGTCGGCTGGGAATGTACTATTGGCAAATGGGTAACGATTGAAGGGATGTCAGTTCTTGGGAAGGATGTGATCGTCAAAGATGATGTGTACATCAACGGTGGTCAGGTACTACCTCATAAATGCATCGCAGCTTCCGTACCCGAACCGAGCATCGTTATGTGATAAAATACTACCCCGCAAAACAAGTAATGAAATCATACAAACATCACATGGATAGTTACGACATCGAACAGCTAACATATACACGTAATCAAGCGTGATGGTTTCAAAATAAAATAATGAAAATTAATGATAAATAAAGTATAAGCAAACACCCATGCCATTTGTTTTCTACTTTTGTAAATGGTCAAATTGAACTCTCCTTCCACTAATTTGTAAACGCATTTTTATTAAAGATGGTAATAAAATTTAGATTTAAAAACACACGATACCTTTTAAATTTATTTTTTTGTCTTTTCGATTTCTCTTCGAACAGCAAGTATTTGAAATGCATACTCGAACTTTAGCGATACGTTCTATTACTCAAATGGATATCGAAATAAAATATACTTTTAAGTATCGACAACATGATAAATTAAAGTTACAATTGTTTCTCTAATTAGTCTGCTTCCTACTTTAGTTGTTGTTATTGACTTATTCTAGATGTTTCTACATCTTAAAATAATGTTAATATATTAGTTAATTGTATGTTATTTGATTGAAATTTTGATTGTAATTGACTACAGTTCTCTGAACAACTGATTTTGTAGCAAGAAATTTTAGTCGAACTTCGCGCTTAATTTCGTTAGACTAAAAAAAGAACTAGAGTAACTTCAATTCTGTGACCTACATTGAAGTGGTAACAAAGAAAAGTCTTCGGTCTATATACATTTTTGCATATCGTTTGAGCATAAGACTAAATATGCCAGAAGTTCGACTATACATGTTAGATACAAACTGACAATCGTTTGTTCCATCCATATATGATATTTATAAACAATTACTTTATAATTCAGATATATAAAATTATTTAAAAAAAAAATGAAAGTGCTCAAATAATCGAAATAATATTGATTCATTTAACTAATCAATTTCTAAGATAAGAATTTGTCTCTATAAACATGTATAAACAGAAGACAATTAACATAGCAACACTAATTTTGGGTAAAGATCAGTATTTCCTCATACCTCCGCCTCCACCCATAGTGCCCTTGTAGTCAAAACGCTCATTGACGTATGTGTTAATTCCTGGAGGTGGCGGGCAACTGGGACCGGCAATGCTCATACCGTTGTTGCCCGAGAACGTCGAAGATGACACGTTCACCGAATTCCTCGCCTGACTGGCCGAATTCCATCTGTCGGAATTGGTTTGGTTCTCAGATCTCCACGTATCCTTGCCCCAGCTTTGCTTATTGGCTTGAGCTCCTGTAGCACTAAATACTTTTTGAGTATTCCACGCTGATGCCGAGGAAGCAGATGGCCGCTCGTAGCGCATCGTATCCTTCTGTTGATCCGGATATGACCTACGGTCATTGCGCGGATTGCGCATATCCGGCTTTGAGTCGGTGATGCCTCTTCTGTCTCTATCGTCCCTTACGGAAGGTCGGAAGTGTGGACTCCTGTCACGCTCGCGTTCATTGTACCGGGAAACCTTTGAATCACTGCACAAACACAAACGTCATTCCCTGCTCTACGTTCACACTTTGAAGATCTACTTACATCGCATATTTCGCATTTGATACATTGGAGGGAATACCGCCGGCGTCGCGCATCCTCGGATCCCTAATGTCACCTCCATTATTTCGATCGCGGTTGGAATATGATCCAGTATCATACTTCGGAACAGGAGGTCCTCTGGCCAACGAAGAGCTTGCTGGATGTGATCGATCTTCATATTCGCGTTTTGGTTGGTAACCTCCGTCGTTTCGTTTCTCGTAATTCCCTATTCTAGGTTTACTGTAATCTTTGTTAGCCGAACTTCCAGCGGCAAACTTTTTAGGAGAGTTAGGATCCCTAAAAATGGTTGAAACGTATTGCATTAGTCACTTCGTTTTTGATCGTTAAATTACCTATTTGGAACATCAAACCTTGGGGGAGGCGGAGCCTCGTCGAAATGTCTATCTGTAGCGATGCGTTTTCTTTCTTCATAAGATCTTTCGCGTTCCCTGTACGGTGCTGCTGGTGCTGGCCTTTTAACCGCTCTGCGATCTTCCTCTTGCATCCTGATTTTAGCTCTTTCCAGCTCCATCCTCTCCAATTCTAATTTTTCACGTTCCAGCTTCTGTCTTTCTCTTTCGAACTGCATCAATTCGGCTCGTTCTCGCTCCAGACGCTCTCTTTCTCGTCTCAATTTCTCTCGTTCTCTTTCCAAGCGTGCAGCTTCGCTTCTTTGATTTCTTTCAATTTCCCGTTGTCTGGCAACTTCCTCGCGACGTCTGTCGCGTAAAATGCGCTCGCGTTCCCGTATCCTTTCCCTATCCCTTTCATCTCGTATCTTTTCGAACGTCAGTACTTCCCTTTCTCGTTCCCTGCGGGTCGCCGATTTCGAAGATTGGCTCCTTTCATTGCGACTTCTGGATGTAGATCTATGTTTATCACGGCTCCTTCTATCCGCAGGACTCCGCGTCTTCCTGCGAGATGAAGAACTGTCTGCCTTCTTAACATCCTTGATCTCATCTTTAGTTTTTTCTTTGTCTTTAGGTTCTTTGGCTTCTTTATCCTTATGATTTTCCTCTTTTACTTTTTCAGTTTTAGAATCTTTATTAGACGTCTCTATCTTTTTCTCCTCCTTTTCTTTCCCTTCGCTCTTCACCGGTGCAGCGGATGTAGTTTTCGCCGTAACGCCTTTTCCCTCCAACTTATTTTTAAGTGGATTTAAATAATCAGGACGTACCTGAAATCATCTCACACTAGATTATTTAGCTCACGTTTACGCTCTGAAATGCGTACCTTCTCGATACGTATAATATGACCATTAAGTTCAGTATTATTTAATTTTGTAATGCAGTTGTCGGCGTCCGCTACTGTCTCCATCTTTACGTAACCGTAGCAGCAGGCCGCTGGATGTCTGGCATTCATAACAACTTTTGCACCCATAACCCTTCCATGTACTGACAGCGCCTGCTTTAATTCCGTAGCCCTGGTATTCTGTGAGATGTTTGTAATCCACAGATTGCGATTTTGATCGTTGGAAAGTTTCTTACTATAAAATAAAACAGGTCAATTAGACGGCCGCCCTCCCATTCGATTGGAATCTTGCTTCACGTGACTCCCTTTATTTTTATTCTTTTAGTACTTCAGATGAAAACTAGAATTTTAATATGCGTTCTGACTAATCCCCAAAATTTAGCCCACTACTAAATATTAAAACAACACGAAATTTGTAAACTGTTTCCAGGTTACCTTTAAACAGTACTAAACTACAAGTAGTTAAATACGGTGCGCAATTTAAATTGTTTTTTTTTGTATATAAACTGTTTTGTAGTACTCATCATCAATAGCTGCTGTAATATAAGTGATAAATCTGGCTCCTAGTTGTATTGACGAACGAACGTGTCTCATCCCCCTCGAGAGTCCTCTGCTCATGAATTGAAGTGTGGTGACAACATTTATGTTAAGCAGCTATTTGATTTGAGTTTCATGAAGCAATAACACTCATAAGAATTCGCAGTTATTGATGTTAAACCAACCTAGGGGTAGGCGCTTTTTCTTCATTGATTTTTACGTCAGCGTCCTCCTTTGAGTCAGGTGATTTAGATGATGAGATCTCTTCATCCGCCTTTTTGCCGTCTTTTGTGGATATATTCGGATTTACGTTCGGATTGGTACTTTTCTCAGTAACCACCTCAGTTTCTTCATTGTTGTCCATTTTGTCCTCATCCTGGCCTGCTTGCTGCTCATCTTTATCTTGAAATTGTGATCCGCATCCTGATTTATCATCGTCGCCGTCCTTGCTATCGACGACTGATTCATCTCTAGATTCCACCGACGATGCTTTGTCCGTAGAATCTTCTTTAACTTCAGTAGACTCTTCTTTGCTTTTTGAATCTATATAAAAAGTTCGCATTCATAAATATAATATCATCACTAAATAAAAGCCCTCCAGAGTATCTATCTCGTCACTTAGTATAATATTTAGTAAACAAAAATAAGTATTTCCCCCAAAAATAATATAAAATAATAAGAAATAATTGTCTATAGATAATTAATTAACTATGAAATTAATTTCTACCATTCAGGACTGTATATATAAAAATATATATTTTGCCTGAGGTACACTGAAAGTACTGTGAGGTGCCATTCCTCCAAACAAATTGTAACCAAGTCTGGGAGCTAAGAAATGCGCATTGGAGTAAATTGTCTGTTTGAATATGGTGGTGCTGCTATCTCATTCAGTTGATTCATTGGTTGCATAATCTAGTTGAACATCTTCAAAGGGTTGTCCTTGGGAAGGATAGTCATCCTGTTGTAGGTAGTAAGTAGTCATCCATATCTTCTGCTCATATCAATCATCTTCTCTTCGACAGACTAATTTAAACCAATATCATCAGCATATTCTTAGGTCCTTGTATTATTGTCCAAATGATCATTATAAACCAATCAAAGTAATAAACACATTGAGAGAGAGAAAAAAACACCCAACTTCACTTAAATACTAAATTAACTGATCACTTACCGAAATCATCAATTATAATGATTGGAGATTCTGAATCTGCTGTTTGGTCATGGGACTGAAATGTGGAAACATGCAAAAAATCAATTTATATTTCTACAACTTGTCTTTGAAGACTTACACTATCATTATCATAAATATCCTTAATATCTTCTTCGTCTGGAGCGTCTTCCGAATTTTCAATAATTTCTGTATTTTAATTAATTTTTTTAGAACTCTTCAGTTGATTTTAAAATATTTACACTTACCGACTATATTCATGATAGCTGGTCTATTACGTTCACTCAATATTGCCTAGTAAGTTACGAAGGAACAATTTAATTATTTAATATTTACAAACTATCTAACAATTTTCTCTTCCTTTTTTTAATTATTTTACCTTTTGAAGACGTTCGATCAGCGCCTGTTTATTTCCAGTTTTGTCCAATCCACGATTCTCCAATTCTTGCTTTAAATCCACTACACGCAAATCCTCGAGCTTTTTCCCGTCTATTTCAGACATTGTTGAAACACTTTTACAATTGAAAATGCACTACACAACGTATTTCATTATTAGAACACCTCGGAAAAAGATGGCGTTTTCAGGTGAAGCGTCTAAGATTCAATAGTCTGAAGGAAGCAAACGATGTCAAAATAAAAACGCGGGATTTTCAAATTAATTACGTAACTCTCGCTTTTATATAATTTATCCTATATTATATAATTCCAATGTTATTAATATTACTATTTATTGATTACTAACAATAATTCTAAATGCAATTATTTATTTTAATGTAGTCAATCAGTGTAAGTTTGGTAGTCTACGTAAAATTTTAGAGAGAAAAAAACTGAAAATGTCACAGTTAAAAACTGGCGTCACTATGAACATAGCTACAAAAAAAAGCTAGGTTTTTAAAATACTCTTTAATTATTTATATAATAATATTCATATATATATAATTATATCTAATATTGATTATTTGACGTAATTTTGAACTCAATTTGTTCTATTTCAATAGTTAATTCATGTAAATCTGGTAGTATATATAGAATTATTTAAAAATAGTTAGAAAATCAATGGCGGTTGCAATGGTAGTAAAATGTGCAATATTTTCAATTTATTTACAGTATTTTAATGACAATACATAAAATTATAAAATTATACGTATTACATATAATTATCAACAATATTGAATTCAATTAATTATGTTTTATTATGAAGTAAGTTTGGTAGTCTATAAATGAATATTTAACATTTTTATTTCTTGTTAAATTATTGTAATTTGTTATATTTTGGTCATTAAATAATGATTATTAGTAAACTAAAAAATTTTAAACAAATTTTGAATATAAAGAATCTTTTAAGACTAAATATAGGAGGAAATGTCTTCTTTTCATTCTGTTCACTCTTTTGTACTTCATTTAGCTCATGCCTAAATGTCTTCTTTTTTTAATTAAACATGAAAGACACTGTCGACGTTAACCACCATTAACAAAATTAAAGAACATTACATCAACATGATACAAGTACTTTTGAAATCCCGACTGTATCAAAATCCGGACAACCATAATCTCGACTATATCGAAAATGTCTACAATAACATTTTAAAATTAGACCCTAAATATACAAATGAGGGAGATCACTAGATAGAGCAGTGGTTTCCAAACTTGAAGTTACTACGCCTCCCTCAAAAGTATGTAATCATTTGGCGCATCCCCTTTCATAAAAGGAACGCGTATTAAGGCAATATGGATAAGAGCACAGTAATAAAAACACTGCTTTTTCGAGC